TTCAGTGGGATGTAGGCTTCTCCCAGCCTGGCTAGATTTGGACTTCAGCCTCCTATGATTCAGCTTCTACCAGTGAAAGAAGGTTAATAAATCACTGTCAGACATAATGTACTGTAATACTAAAAAAAAAAAAAAAGTAAGATGTATGAAATTTTCATCCCTCAAAGCCATTTTCCTAATGGTGATAAATTAGTTAATGAAGCTAGAAAATTTCAGTTGATATAGAAACAGAGAGAGATGAGTTAGCTTACCAAAATAAAATATATTTTTTATATCTGTAGTTACAGGGATCATAAGGACCTTGCACAGCTAGCATGGGACTTAACCCACTGCATAGATGTGCAAGCTTCAAAACCACAACTTCTGGCACTGAAGTTACTAATGTTACCACTTTTTGTTTTTCTAGACAGAGCTCACTGTCCCAATAATTGTTGATTTTAACTAGTGTGTTAAACTTTCATTACATGTCTCGTTTGGGGGTGGGTAAGTGAAGAAAATAAACATTTTTCTAAACTAATGCAGTAAAAAAAAATGTTGATTCAGTACAGTGACCTTCTACCAGGTTATTTTTTAAATGTGATAAATGTGTGTCCTGCCTGGACAAAGCAAACTAGCTGCCCAAACTCATCTTCCTGATTTGTAATAGAGGAAAACAACAGGAAATGAATAGCCACAAACCAGTATGATTTCATGAATAAGATAATCAAAATATGGATACTTCATCCGTAATATCACAGATGTCTTCTTGACAACCAGTGTTTCATCAATTATATTGTCTCATACAAATATTTTTCTTCATAAGCATTTTCCACTTTTAGTGGAAGATTAATTTATCTAGATTTAGACAGTGAGTATCTAACTTCTATCAATGGTTGATTAGTGTGTGTACAAAGGTTGTACTGGTTGGGGATTCACATGTCTGGAAAACAGTAATGTTCCAATCTCAACTGGTAATTAAACACTGAGGAATCAAATGTCAAGATTCAAATGAGAAATCTTTAAAACTATGACCAAGCTTTTCCATATGCTAAAATTGATCCCAAACCATCGATTTTTCTAAAATATTGACTCTTACTTACACATCGACTATTGATTTTTCCAGTTACAAAGACAAAAAGGCACCCACTGAGGATTTGAGTAACAAAAGATAATTTCTTCTGCAGTTAGTTTTTAGTCGTGCTTTTCAATCGGTGCTAATAAATCTGGATCTAAGTGCATTTCTAAAGCGTGCATTTTAAAAGGTGATTTAGTCTGTATAAAACATTTTCAGTATATGTGAATAAGCACAAGGCTCTTCATGTTTTGTGCCTTATTTTACCCAATAACCATGACATAAAATAATGGCATTTGAGTATACTGCAATGTTACATTCAGGTTGAAAAAAAATCCAACAAAACAAGGTGGGCCTGGGTCACCACTGCATTATACCAGAGTGACTCCAATTAAAATTAATGGAATGTTACCAGAATAAAAAGGATTTTAACAAAGTAACCAGTCATACTCATTACCTCTTACTGAAATTGAACATGCAGACATGAGTTAGTTATTAAACCATAATTATATGGTTTAGTAGTATGGCTAGTCTTTTGTCTTCAGTCATCATTCAGGAAATACATATATAATACATAAATACTTCCACTTGGTGACATAACAGCATAGCAATAAACAAAGAATAGAGCCTAACCAAGGAATGCATACTTCAAGGAGTCAAAGCAGTATTTCATATAAACAAAGGCAGAGGAAAAAAAAAAAAAAACAAAACAAAAAACAAATCACCCAGCCCTGTGGATGAGAAATCAGACTCTGTTAAGGCCTCCTTGGACAATTCTATTTCAGTCAGGAAAGGAGATGAAAAATTACTCTCAGTGGGAAAATGAAGGACAAACACAATCTCAATATTAAAACAAGGTTGATAAAAATCTCTCTGCCTTTGTCCTACCAGCTATGTTTTATGTCTCAGAAAAATGGGCACATACCACATAATAAATTTCAGAATTGCATAGAGAAAAATTGAGAGTGCAGCCTGAAGGTAGCTTTGTTCTATTATCAAGAGTTGCAAAATCATCCCTTATCATTATTGGCATCACATATATAACCTTCCCTCAAAATATTAGTAACTTCAGTCTTTCCAGACCTCCATAGTGCAGGCACAATTAATCCCTACTTAACAAGATGGAGAAACTTGTTAATGGGGAACAGCATTGGAAACTGCAGCATGGAAGACAAATGGAAGAAAAGCAAGCTGTTCTTTAAAGGCCAGGCATACATCAATATTGGGATGAAGTTCTAATTTATATCAAAGCCATTTCACAGTGGTGATGAACTTAATAATTAATAGAAGTGGTCCAACAACAAAATCTAACTTTCACAGGAATGACAGGGCTGTAGACCTGTTGAAGAGATGCCGAGCTCCAAACTTACCTATTCTCCCTACACACACTGTAGGGTACCACCACTCCCCAAAAACCTCTTCTCTCATAAACTGTATGCATGACAACAATCTCCAGATTATGGGCTACAGTGTCCCCAGAAATGAGATCTCCCAAAGTAAAGGTAATCTTGCTACTGGTAAAAATCCATTTTTACAGAATGATGTTTGTAGAAATATTAAGCCAAAACATATATTCATTGTCTTTTAATTTCCATTGCAGAGTTAACAGTTCAAACAACACATCAGCATTCCAGCAGCCTGCTCCCTATTTTTGTTCCACCTGCCATTCAATTAATAACTCATTAAACTGCACACCTGCAACACACCTAACCTCTGGTGCCAGCATTAACCTTACATTACAGGTGTCGGCCAACAAGCCCAGTTAGCAATATCCTTCCAGTGGAAGACAAAACAGCAAAGAAGTTAGATTGGTGTTCTGGATCCAGTAGCTTGCATAAACAAGTGCAATTCTATCAGCACTAGCATCTCTGGTTCACAGCCATTCCTGTAATTTGAATCAGTATTTAGAAACAACAGGCTACGAGTTTTTAAACATGTTCAAGTCAGAGTACCTATTCTCTTACCACAAATTCACTTAACAATAAAAATCACTATGAAGAGGCTTAATAAATACATGTACAATAGTGGAAGAAATTTCCCTTGCAATGGAAAAAGAAACCACTTCTGGCAGTGTTCACTTTTTACTGCATTCAAGCAACTGGTGACCTACCACCACTTGAAGACCACAACCCTAAGCACACGTAGTATCAGAATGAATGCAGGCAGACATTACACAGCAGCTGGTGTCGTGTCCTGCATCTCCAGCCCCTTGCTGCAACCCTGAGCTGTGTGATCTGCCCAGTCTCCCAGTACTGGCAGCAGCGTGGTGGCAAGCCTTGCTCTCCTCCCAGTGTGGTGCTGCAACAGAGCAGAGCCACCAAGTACAAGTTCAGAGAGGGTCTCGTTTTTATTGCTGTCAGTTCCATTTGTTGCAAACACATTCTGATTCACCTTAAAAAAAATATTGTGTAGTACAAAAAAGAAGTGCTTTACAAAACCATTAAGTAAAGCAGATTGCAAAAGACACCAGCTTAAACACACTGATCCAATGTTTTAGTTAATGTATTGCAATGAGTCCTCAATATCCATACATTTAAAAAGGGTGGTCCTTCTTAATGCTTGTTTTTACATTAACATTTCATTTTCCTTCTCTATTCCATTGATACCACCTACACTTTCACAAAGAGGGAGAGCAGTGCAAATAAAAACATAAAAAACCCACAATTCACACTACAATACTGTTGTAATCATCTACCAAAAATGTACTAAAAAGATGAGTACTGGAACTGTAAAATGCTAACAAAATTATGGCTAAAGCTTCTCTAGGAAATAGAAAATAGACTGGAATTCAATTCATATGAAAATAAGGTTTATTGTCAGAGTAAGAAATAAGAAACAAAATCCTTCATCTCAACTTGAAAATCAAGGACAACAACAAAGGTTTCAGCCGAGAAAAGCAAAAGCTAGTTAAGGAAAGTCATGTAGAAGAAAGCCACCAAACCCCCTCCAAAAACCTAAAGCAAAACAAGACTGCTCACAAAAAAAAAAAAAAAAAGTAGGAAGAAGTCCTACACCACGTCATTCTTCTCTGCAACAGTTCATCATTCTCTCTTAATCTGATTAATTTTTTCTTCTCTGTTCCTAGACATAAAACGAGTTCCCTTTGTAAACGCCTTATTTTCAGCAGAACCAGAGGTTACTCCTCAGTTCTGTACCTTGTAATTAGAATGGCATGCAAGAGATCTTCATGCTAAAACTGAAGGAGCCCTCCAGAGAAACGTGGCCCAAGCTATTAACTCTGCATCGTGCTGAGCAGCACACAGCCACTCCTTTCGTCCAGCAGTAACGGAGGGACCGCTGGCATGAGGTTACTTCCTTCAGTATAGATGTATATTGACTACAGCAAGTTCAAGCTCCTATCAACTGTTGTTCTAACTCTAAAGCTGGAGCTATTTGGCACTTTTCATTCACAGATGAAGGAGTATGTGCTCATGGGAAGAATCTCTGAACCCTATAAGCATGTGGTTAGGAACTTGGTACTGTCACCCCAGAATGTTAAGAACAAAGAAGCCAATTATATGATCAATAGGACATTTGGCAGCCTGCTGTGCTTTTTACACATCAGTACACAAAACACTCTTCAAGAACTGAGGTTGCATGAGCACTAGGCAGGAAGGGTGAAAGCTCCTGTGAGTACAGGGGCTTTTGAAACAGGCTCTGTTATTCTCAGACTGCCAAATACTAAAATACAGTCAGAGAAAGCACAAAGTATTTGCAGGTATCAAATGTTCTGCAAAGAAGCTGCACCAGCTTTGTGTTCAGGCAATCTTCTCCAGGTTTTATTAAATGTGGCTGAAAAGCATTTAGTAATAGAAGGATAAACAACAATGAAGCCTAAGAATGCCGCACAAAACCAAATAGAAGGACAGAACTGAATATTAACTTCTACCTAATTCTGTTTGGTAAATCCCAGGGATGAAGTAAGTATGAAACAAAACATGAAAGCGACTTTGGGATCTAATATTTTATTTTTTTCCTGACCATATTTATACCAATATAACTGCTTATAATGCATAATTACTTTCCATACCTGATCACAGATAGAAACACTGAGAATGTGGATTTAAGAGAGGTAATTACCTGTTTTGACCAAATTTTTATTAAGCAATTCAGGCATTCAAGTTGACCTTGCACTTCTTCAGAACAAAAACCTGCTGCTCTTAAGAAGGGATATGCACCTTCTTTCTTATACACGCAAAGTTAGTTCTAATTCATAATTACAGAACTGACCCCGAACACTGATACCGCAGGAAGGTGTGAGTTGAGCTTTAGAGACTGAACAAGACTGCCCCTTTCCAGCCATAGGCAGTCAGGGAATAAAGTCCGTTGTTCATGGAATCCAAGAAAGACAGTCTTTAAAGGATGCACCACTCAGAAGCATTAGAGTATTAGGGATGAAATCAAACAGAATGTGCAAAGTGATAGAAGCAGGGAGAATTATCACCTTTTCTGTAGTGTACAGAAGTAGTTAGTGGCTACAGCTGATTTTTTTTTTAAACCCACTGAGTAATTCCTAATACTGCTGATATAGTAGAAAATAGCCAATTTTAAACATGATGAAATCCTTATCTGTAAGCAAAGCTTAACCAGAGACAAGTGATAGGTGCATGTTTTGTAACGCAGCAAACTGCCCTTAAAACTTAACTACTCTATTTCCTGAAAAAACAAAGTGAAGTTTACAAACATCACATCTTTATTTGATGATGGTGCTAATGAGTTTACTTTGTACTTCACTGATGTGACAAAGTATGTGCAAGGTCTGTAATTCCAGACTGCCAGTTTGGAAGACGAAGTTAATCTGCTTTAAAAATCAAGAAACATAAGTAAAGGTTCAAGAACAATTGCTGCTCTTGACTTGTGAAGTACGAGCTTCAGCATTCCATAAATCTGTTAGGGTCTGTTATGAAAAACCTTAATAATATGCTTTGATAAATTTTTACTTTTCACTTCGAAGATAATCATCATTTACACAGAATATAACCAGAGTATACAGAAACAGCTGTACTTTCAACATACAGGCAAGGGCAAAGACCCACCACTCTAAATGAAGGCTTATGAATGCCTAGAGCAAAATTAAAGAACACTGTCCATAAAATGACATATTTAAATAAAAAAAAGAGAGCAAGTAACTGTATTTTTATTTTATTTGGAATATCTAAGCCTAGAATTTCTCAGAACATTGCTTGAGATTCCTCAAGGAAACTGAAGAACTCAGAAGTGAGTCTCAAAATGACTGTTCCCTTGCTATGCTATTTTATACTGCTACTTAGCTGCTGCCATCATTTAAAGATAAATTATTTATACCAATGAGAAAATAATTTCAGTCATTAATTGCAGATGTTTCATGCTCCTCCTCCCCAAAAATACTGAGGAGCTGTGCGGCCTGATTAAAAAAAAAAAAAAAAAAAAAACCAAAACAAAAAAACACCAAACAACAACAAAACAGAAAGATGACTGAAAGAGGTTATGGTAAAAACAAAATTAACATGGGACCTCCGTATTTTTATTTAAGAATTTTTGATTAATGAAAATGGAGAAGTTACTTCAGATTCAGAAAGCAAGCCAGCATCTCATACAGATCCTGAATTTCAGTCATTTCTACTAGATAGCATTCTCTTCATTCCATAACTATCTAACGCCAAACAAGATCCAGGTTCCCGATTCAACACCCATCATGATTACAATTTTCAAATATTGTTGTAAAATACCTGAGACACCTCAAAGGTGAACAAACAAAATCTTTCCAATGAAGCAGTCCAGAACAAATACATATGCTGTGCCCCTTGCATAAAAACAAAACAAAACAAAAAAAAAAACAAAAAAAACCCATCACACAGATGCAATCTAATGGAATTATGGTAGGTTTTTTTTCTCCTTCCAGTACAGTTCACAGTAGTTCTGGTTCCTACCACTTGACAGGGTTTTGCCCTTTTGATTGTTCTGTCTTCACATAAGCATCATACAGTTCCCTTAAATGAAAGAACAGTTCCTCTAGGTTGTCTCCTGTCAATGCAGACAGTGCAATGACCCGGTCATTTATCTGTTCTTTAAGGAGTGGCAGATTGATCCTGGACTGAGCAAGGTCAATCTTATTCCCGATGACAACGCAAGGCCTCTCAGACAATTCTTTTTTATATTGTTCCAGTTCATATTTTAAGTCTTGCAGTTGAATCCATGGCTGAGACTCAGAGAGATCCACCACATATAAGAGAAAGCGACAGCGTTCAATATGTCTTAGGAAGGCCATCCCAAGGCCCCTGTTTTGATGAGCACCTTTTATTAGGCCAGGAATGTCAGCAACTAAGAGAGAAATTCCACCGTGAATCCAACATATCCAACAAAAGAAATCCGAAAAAAACCACAAACCAAAACCCAACAAACCCAGTCTTTTACTGGCCAGTGCAACTACTTTTAGAATTACATCTCAATGCATCAATGTTAAAGCATACCTCGTGTTAAATTTGGCTGCTATTATCTTTTAAAACCCCTCAATTCAGATTATTCCAATTGAGGCAAAATACAGATTGCTAGTTTGATATTGAGGGCACATATAAGTGAATGTGAAATTGGCTTTCAGTATTATTTGAAGTTCTTCAGAACTAGCAAGAATTCTACAGAACTGCAGAACTTCTGCAGCATTTCAAAGAAAAACCCAAATGACACAAATTGCTATCAAAATACACACAACATACTACAATTCTGACCTGCTATTTGTTCATAGTCTTGATAGTTGACAATGCCGACGTGAGGATTCAAGGTTGTGAATGGGTAGGCAGCCACTGCTGGCTTTGCACTGGAGATTGCTCTCAAAAGTGATGATTTGCCAGCGTTTGGAAAGCCCACCTAGAATACAAACACTCGTTAAAGCCACAGTTCTAGGTTAATCCCCCCCAAAAATCCCAAACAAACTTCTGCAGATGTGGCAAGGTTTTTCCAGCACGAATATAACATTCATTTTGCATAGTTAGTGCTGAAAATCACCCTGGTTTCCCTTTTTTGTTTCTTCTAAACACTGTTTTATTTACATCTGTAATTTCTCATAAACATTAAATAGAACAAGAGTAGAAGGGTCCTCTTCGCATATTTTTGTGCCATCTTAAGTATTTACTCTGTTCAGAGCCAAAAGGGTATATACCCTAGTATCTCTTTTACCCTGAAATAATGACACTTTGCCTTGCACTTCCCATTTTACCTGTGTTTTCTAACTCTGATTTATTATTTTCCAAAATAATTCAGCATTGGCTTTGTCTTTGATTCAGTAACACAGTTTGGCCTATAAGTAACCAGAATGCCCACAAGCTTGGGATTTTCATAGTCTCAACTTCACAGAATTAAATTGCAACATAAGGTCCCTTCCAACCCAAAACATTTTATGATTATGTGAAACTTGGCCTTCTATGGGCAGGGTTTTTGGTAGCAGGGGAGGGGGCTACAGCGGTGGCCCCTGTAAGAAGCTTCCCAAAGCTCCCGTGGCTCAAAGTCTCTCACTGTCCCATCTTGTCTGTTCAGTGTTGGTTTTTGTTAGTGTTTGAATTAAAGTTATATTCCTTTTTTTTCTACCCCTAATGAATCTGTCTTTTGCCCTTGACTATAGCAAGAACTCTTTGCAGCAAATCATACTTTTAACAGTTTTACTAGCTGGTGTTAAAACCTTTCCATATTTAAAAATGAAAACAGCTTAATCCCTCCGTTGACTTAACATTCATGTCTAAATAGTATTTTCATTTCAGAGGATGCTTAACTTGGAACTAAAAGTCAAACGTTTAATATCTGTAAAAAGAGAAATATAGGGATGAAATAGAAGATTATTTTATCAATTTTCTTAAAATAAAAAAACAACCAAACAAACAAGAAAACAGAAGCTAATTTAGAAGACCTCTTCATACTGTACTGTTCATCTGCAGAATCAGAAGACAAAGCCTGCTGGGCATCATCAGTGAGTCTATTAATCACTGATGAAACTTGCATACTGCTTTTCTATATATAGTGTTGATTTTAGCAAAATTAGGATGACTTCAAGTAGCAAGAGAGTGACAGCTCTGCAAATGACTTTGGACACCCCTCTACCAAGTAACAGCAAAAAAGCATCAAGTTGCATCTCTAAACAAGCAAGCCAAAAGGCTAACAAAAATGTTATCAAACATTATTTCTTCAGTCAGTCAAGCATCATCCTGCAACGATAAGGAAGTTGAAGAACCACAGCGACACTCACCAATCCTGCATGAGCTGTTGTCTTCAGTTCCAAATGGAGGACCCTTTCCTGACCTGGCTCTCCCGGAGTAAATAATGTTGGAGCTCGGTTTTCATTGGAAAGAAAAAAGCGATTACCTTTCCCTCCAGCTCCTCCATAAGCTGCAACATATTCTTCACCATGTTGAGTGAGGTCTGCCACAACTTCCCCATCCTCCTTAACCAATGTTCCTATAGGGACCTTGAATTGAAGAGAGATGCGAGCGTTACACTGAAGTTCAAAGTCTGCAGTAGAGCTGTCTGCAGCAGATCTGTTACCAGCTAATTTCAGATTTGTTGAAAATCATTCCTCTAAGCTGGGGAATCCAAAAAGTGAAATGTACTTCATGAGGCTCACCTTCTGAACCCAAACAGCCCTGTCAGACATTTACACTTCAATAAAATGTGCCATAACCCTCTTTCTCTCCTTTTATGCAAAGAAGCCTAAGCACAAGAGTGAGCTATGAAACAAATTTTAGGTGTGCACCAAACCAGGCATGTTGAAAACAAAAAAACGTCTACAAGAAAAAAGTTTGCTCCTATTGAAGAAGTTCTGTGTTGTGATTGCTCTAGGTATATTACCCCTCGAAGTAAAGCAAATCAGAACCATATTTGTTTTGGCCAGAGGTACCTTCCAAAGAAGTTTAATTTTCGTAAACAATTTAAAGCAGTTTGATCTGCCTGTGTGCCAGCCAGCCCCGTCCCAGCAGAGACAGCACAAAAAGCAACCTGAAACAACACACATGAGATTTTCTCACAATAAGGTCATCCAGCTTTAAAATCAGCAATGTTAATACAAAGCTAACACACTAGCATGCAATCTTAATTTACTTACTTTAACATACACGTATGCACCATTAGCTCCGTAACAGTTTTTGTTTCCTCCTCTCTCTCCATGAAAACCCTGATAGAAGGGGAGGACTGAAGAAAGTGATTTCATTTGCCGGTCAGCTGTAAAGCAAAATGCACTTTTTTTAAACACACAGTTTTAGTAGAAGAGGCACAGAAGAGCAACCTCTTGACTGTTCTTTCCCTTTTTGAATATTGCATGAATGCATATCCTGTTTACTGTCTCAGCAATAACATATCAGGGAAGACTAGTACTAATGTAAGTTATGATGAAGTTTAACTGCCTTTACTTATCTGCTTAGGTTTAGTAACCATGCACTTTATTATCTGGTCATTCCAAAATCAACCATTAAAAAATACTCTGGAAAATTTGTTTGCTAGATTAGCAGATTTTGCAGCAGCGTGGTAGCAGAAGCAGCTTTATCCATCTTAAGAGTAAAATCTGATCAGATCCCAGCCTTATCATAAGTCAGACACCAGCAAAATACTTTGATTTTCAAAATACTTTCCAAGACTGTCAGTGTCATTTATGTTCCTGTTATCACAACTCAGGACAAAGCTTAAAAAGCAAAGACATCTTATACAAAAATAACCATTTTAACATTTTTTACATTTATCTTTACCATTTCCTACCACACATGTAGGGTTGGTTATGCTGGAGGGGTGGGGTATTAAGCAATACGACAACATGAAACAAAACAGATTTAGTGAGTTTTACCTTTTAAAATGACATGGCCACCATCACCTCCATTTCCACCATCAGGACCTCCAAATATTTTTCTGGGTTCACTACAAAAAGAATAACCCCCTCCTCCTCCTTGTCCTCCAACCACACGCACTTTCCGGTGATCCACAAAATAGCGTGTCTGTAACAAGAATGGGTTTTGTACCCTTTAAGTACAGTTTATCAGAGTCAACTTCCAAGAAGTTGATTGTTCTGCAAAACTTAGTAATATGCAGACCTGCTACTTTTAGTCATGAGCAGTTCCAATCAACAACAACAAAAAAAAAGTCAGAACTCTGATGCCATTCACAGATCAACTAAATACAGCATACTAAGTATAATAATAAAGAAAAATAAATCACAGAAGTATTTTTAAAAACCCCCTTAAAAGTACATGCCTGAGGCTATGTTGATATAACCTAATGCAGCAGCTCACATACCAAAAGTACAAAATTCAGGTTAAGGGAACTAATAACTGGAAAAGTATCCTTTTAATACAGTTACATAAAGCTGACAGGTAGCTCAATAGGGCTACCACACTATAAACCAAAATCACTCAGTAATTGTGTCCCTACTCATGAAAACAAAAAATTTAAAAAAATATATATACATAAGCTTTTTACTTCTTTAAATTGAACTGAAATTTGCAAAAAGGACATAGTGCATGTGTGGGGGGGATATTCTCATATTGATTCATGCTTTCTATACCAGGTGATGAAATTCAGGCAAACTTTAATTTTCTTAGTTGTTAGAAGACTGAAGACAAAGAATAGAAAGTATTTGTAAACAGAATAAGCAGAAGAAAATATATGCCACAATTAGTTGCTTAGGGGCTAAAAAAAATATAGCGTAAAGAGAATTCCAGATCTTGGCTCTATTTCTGACATTAACTTAATCTTTGACTTCTTGCAAACTAATTATGCTGCACTATATTTCATCTTTTCTGTCAGCAAAATAGGTTTGATAATACTCGCCCATCTCCAGGAAGTGGTCTGAAATCCTCAAGGGAGAATATTAGAGAAATACATTCATACAGGCAGGTGAAATTGTTTATGTATGAGGATGAAAAGAGAAAGCATGACCTTGATTATGGCAACATTCAAATTCTGTCAGTTACTAAGGGACTTCGTAATGAGAATGAGCAATAAAGGTCACTTTAATTAAATAGCCCAAACAGCATGTGAGGGCGAAAAAATCTTATTTATTATGATACCAAGATAAGCAACTGAAAAAAAAAAAAAAAAACAAAAAAACCCTAACTCTTGATAATTAAAGTTATATTACGACCAGTGATTTCTTAAAAAGCCTGTTTTTAGAAAAGTATTTGGCACCATCTCACGGTGAGACAGGAAACTATTGCTTTAAACGGGAAGTGATTTATTGGTCATTAGAAAATTAGATTTTCCATAGATGTGCAATGAGAAAAAGATGAAGAAAAAGGACCTTGCAGGTCCTCTGACATAAAAAGATGTTTGGCAGCTAATTATTATGCAAGACTAGAAAAACAGCGAGAAAACAAACAGCATTTTAGCTTTAAAGCTACATAAGCCTTTTCGCTTTCTCGTCTGATGCATGATTTCAGTCCAAGAGGTGCTGCAGCTGAAGTAACACCGTTACTCCAACCCCTCTGAAGGCTGATAATGTCACATGGCAGACTTAATTCCTCACTCTTCAGAAAGTTTACCAGATTTTAGAATAGTATTTCCTCACATCAGAAGCACACATTTGATCCCTGGGAGGAGAAAACGGCAAGGAGCAGGTAGGTTCTGTTTTCTGACGCGTGCCTGGGAGGTGACCACCCAGCAACGCAACTGCACACGAGCAGCTGATTTACTTCAGGTCTTACCAGTTTCCTTTCCGAAATGACTCTTTTTTGCCTCAGCCGCCTGTTCTTTGAGCACCTCGCGCAGGTTGTGGAGAAAGCCGGCAGCCGACCCGCCGCCGCCAACACCACCAGCCGCACCGAGCTGAGGAGGAAGGAGGCAGGCCTCCACGGAGCCCAGCCGCCCGCCACGGCTGTGCATCGCGACAGCATGGCGGCGACAACGGCCGCGACAGCCCGGCCGGAGCGCAGGCGCGGCCCTCCCGGCCCCGCCCCGCTGTCGGCCCCTCCCCTCCCCCGGCCGGCCCCGCCCCCGGCCGCTCCCCGCCGCGTCGCTGTGGGGAAAGCGCGGGAAGCGGCCTCCCGCCGCCCCCGGACGCCTTCTCTCCTCTTTTCTCGCCCGTTTTCTGTCCCGTTTCTCCTCACGCACCGGCGGCCGGCCCGCCGTGCCCCACAGCGGCCGCTCCAGGGAGGGTTCTGCGGCACCGGGGCACGCACAGAGCCCCGTGGTACTTATCTTGTGTCTCGGCATAGAATCCCCCAGGCACGGCTCGCTCCCGTTGTTACAATTTACAAATACCCTAACGAAATAGCTTGAATTTTAGAACACGACTTTGATTTTTTTTTGGTTATATGTGTGGTACAGAGTTGTAGTAGCGATGAGAACACAAGATACATTAAGATCCTAGCCATGAGCAACTAGTTTTGTGTGTGCTTCGATTACTATGGAAATAGTTATGGACTCTGAATTAAAACAATGGGTACCACAAGAAACCGGCCTTGGTTTGGAAGATCAGCCAAAGGATGAAATGAGCTTGCGCAAGGATGGAGTTCTACCCTCCCCTCTTTGATTTTAATGTCAGGGATTACAATCAGTGAGGTTAATTAATTATTACTTAGAAGTATGGATAAGGTGAGGTAATTGATAAAGCCAATCATAAAGCTCGAATTAAGAAGTGACCATTCTATGCACTTTTGAACCTTATGTAATAATGACTGCTACAAAAGCATATAAATATGTTGTACTTTGTACCTGTTGGCGAACATGTCTTTGGTGGAGCTACGCCCTGTGTTCCCCAGCGCCAGAATAAAGAAGCACCTGCTTATCTACTTTACGTAGGTGAGTTTTCTTTGCAAAAAGAAGAAAAACAAAATCAGTCAGCGTGCCGCATCTCCCCTCTCCACGCTATCTGTGAGGTGAGCTGTTAACATACACCCATGCTGTACACACAGGGCATTTCATCTTTGCGTATCAAATCGTTTGAAAGCTGGGACAAGTTTTTGCCATATATAATTACGTATGAAGCGCATCAGAGCAGTAGGGGAGAAGGTACAACTCAAAAAGAATCTCCCTTCATCCGCTGGTTCCATTCAAGAGTCTGTATCATAAGAAAAGTACCACCAACTTCATTTTCAGATAATATTTAACCTAAACAATTTTCAAGCATTCTGTATTACAAAACAAAATTATACAATTAATGGAAGAAGTCAAAATGCTGGCATCACTTTGTTTCCACATTAATACATAAAAATGGACAACACATTAAATAAACATTTTGTTATTAACAATTAGAAATATTAACACCAAAAATCATGTATAAATTAGGAAATAAATGTACAAACTATTTCCAAAGTGCTCTTTCAAATACATTATATACACAACATTCAAGAAATTCTTAATGTAAGACATTTCAGATTGATGTAATGTTGCTGCTTCATTTTAAGTGTTGTTCGTATTCTCTCAAAAGTATTTCAGCACTTTCAAAAACCACATAAAAGGCATATTTCCAAGCTGGCAAAGAGCAATATTGCATTCTTCAGGCTACCTGTAATATTAATCTGTTGTAAAGAAAACAATCTTACTTCCTTTCTGTTCCTTGCTATTTGAGAGTACTTATTTGTATGAAAACACCAGCAGGAAAGATGAAAGAAATGAGGACTGACTAAAAAAAGGTCTTCTATTTTATCAGTAATTAAAATTATTAATGTAGCAAGGGCAGTACTTGGACAACATTTAATAGTAAACTCTTTAGTTGTCCTGTTAAAGACTTTCCTCTACAAGGAAAAAAAGTATTGAATTGAGAGATTTTTATTTCCCATGTGGTCTTGGTTTTTCAAAATATAAAGTACTAGAACTCGAAATCCCATAAATATACCAGTTCAGAGAAAGAAAAGGAGAAAATCCTACAGAGGGTGTATTTACTCTAGATTGTAGATTTGCAGTTAATCTCGTATTAAAAAATGCTCATGGAGTATAGTCATCCTAGCCTTTTGCCTTAGAGAAGTTTGGACATGGTATTTCCTTCAGCACTTACATAAGCACTTTGTAAGTGCTTTTTTCAACATTTTATAAAAACATATAGAACTGAATAGAAGTGATTTACATTGTTCATACTGGCTTTTACATACCACTAGTTTTTATTTCTAAATTCTCCCTCTATAGGTATTCTCCCACTGGTTGACCCCATTAATAGTTCCCCTCTCTATATGCATAATATTGTTTCACAATTAAAGCTGAATTTAGTTGCTTATCTGAAATAAAGATGGATTTTTTTTTTCCCTTTTAGTTCTGAACTATTTCTGTCAAGCTACAAGAGAAAAATAAAAGTGATGATGAGCTGTAAGAACAACAGAGCAAACACTTGACAATATTTATGGTTATAATGCTTGCTGGAAAATCTGAGCAAGGCCAGTGAAAGGATCAGAAATAAAGAAGGATGCCAGCCACCTGCTTGCAAAATTTGGCATGAAAATGTATATACGAGTTATAAAATTTGGAGTAGTGTATTTAAGACTAGAGTTTTGCCAGATGTTTTTCTCAGCTAAGCACAATATGAAGCAATATTGATTGACGTGTAGTAGGCTGACACTGCAGATCTCAGAGCTCCCTTCTATTTTTCTTTCCACGGCAGAAATACCTTAGTTTACACGGGTATACAAAAGGTGCCTCTAGTGATTAACATTTCCGTGAATAGAGGTTTTTATCCTCTTCCTGTACCTTTTACAACAGAAATCTGGATTTACGCAGATTATGGAATTATAATACTTGGGTAGGTAGGTATTACAGAAGTTGCAGTTAATTTTATTTTTATCATATAGCATAGAACTGTCTTCACATAAGAAATGTATCCATTCCCTTATTCTTAAGAAGTAAAGGTAAGAGCCATGGATTTCAGAGGCTGGCAGGTGATCTTCAATGCATTCAGTTAAAAAAAGACCAGTAACCTACCACAGGATACCTCCCTGGACTGAGATATGACTGACTGGCTTTGTATTGAGCCAGACTGCAGAATAACCTGGCTGTTTTCCAGAGCGGGGCACAACTGTGATCAAATGATCCTAAAGCTATTTAGAAACATCAAGAATGGGGCGAGGGGGGGTAAATGAAAAACTTCTGCATTGTATCAACATACAGTACTATACACAGCACCAAATATCAAACCATTAAAGCATTGTCTTGTTACCAGTAGTGCACTGCTTCATATCCAGCATGAAATGAACACTGTTCACATACAGACGCTGCTTTGTGCTAAGGGGTAACCAACATATTACAATTAATCAAAACTGCCTGTACATCCAGTTCAAAAGATGGAGATACTGTTGAAATGAATCGGACACAGGACCGTATTGTTTTATTGCTGGTAATTTCCATATTGTCCCTATAAAAAAGAAATAAAAATGTTGGAGAATAATGTATCAGAGGTTTACAAACAGTGAGTTAGACAATTTCTTCTGGTCTATTGAATTCTGAAAGACCCACTGAAGTATCACCAATATGCCTGCACCAAATTATCAGATAGATTTATATGCGGAGCTAACGGCTAAATCTGCTTTTCATCGTGGAGATTTAGACAATTTACCTGCTCATAGCCATAAGGCCTCTGTTGCTGAGCGGATGGGCCTGTCTGAGAAGCTCTGTAACTCCCATATTGCTGCCCCTGTCCCTGTTGGTAGCTGGAATACTGTGAAGAGGCTCCTTGTGCAGGACCTGAGAAGACAGTGAAATCCATTACTAAGGCTTGATTTGCTGGGGGGAGTTCGTGGTTAACATTAATGTAAAACGTGATGGTAACTAAGCTCTCCGAGTATGAACTGTTGAGTAAATTTTGCTAGACTTTCCCTCTAGCTTTACACTAGAAAGTGTTAATACTAATAACGATCTAGTTGCAGCACCTGTAAACTTCAGGTTTTAAGCTTTGCTCAGGAAATTTGACAGGCTTTTAAGTGATCAGCCTCTCTGAATTCTGTATTGGCACAGCTCAATTATTACCTGTATGCAAGCTACCTGGACTTTATTTTAGTAACAACTGCACGTTTAACTTCCTATTTAATCTGGCTGTGTCACCGTTAGCACTGCTGACTAGGCAGACCCTAAGAAATCTCTTGCATATAGAGACACTTTTAAAAAACCTGTAAATCAGACACACAACTGCACAGGGATATTGATTTCCCTTCATTTGGGACAGTATATGCTGTGTATAAACTGCTATGTGCGCTTACTTTTTAGCATTATTGGTGGATTTTTATGAAAGAACCTATAAAAAGACAAAGCCAGATTTTAACATTGTAAACTGACTTCTGGGTTTCATTTCCCAGAATATATCTGATTTGGGTAGTCCAAACTATCTACTGCACTGAAGAGTTAAGTGTTAATAATTTAATTAACTTTTTAGGCATGTATGTTCTATTTCAAGGGCTCTTACATTTCTAAAATGGATTTGCTATTTATATCAACATCAATTTCTCAAGTTTTGTTATCATTGCCAGTTCAAGGTCAAGTACCATCACATTTGGGGGATGCACCAGAAATCCCTTGCATTGAAGCCAGGATTTAGATTATTCCAATCTCTCCGGCCCCTGTTTTTGTACTAAATAACGTGAAATGGTTTCTTTCTCCCAAAGACTGAGGATACATCCAAGTTGCCTCCAATTGGTCAGAAAACTCAACGATGGCTATCAAACTCAGATTCTTTTGATGGCAGTGGGGAGATCTGCCACTGGTGGCCTGAACAGTTCGAATGCCCTGCGCCAGCGCTAGCTGCGTGTTCAAAGCATTTCCACTTTTCTCCTTTTGCCTCTGTCCCTCACCAAGGAATAAAACCAGTATGATATTGCAAGAAATCTAAGTGAGGGAGTAGTGATTCTCTGGATTGTTGATGCTATTTTTCCATGTCAGCTGCAGCACTATTAGATGTGTAGGAGCCCTGAGGACCCAGGCAGTCACCTCCTGCCAACACTTAGCAGGAAGTCAA